CATGCACCTGAACTCTATCACGAGGCACGTGGGGCCATGTGTTTGGACCATAGGTTCAAGCTTACAACCACAGCCGTTGGCTATAATTGTGCTGGGAGGGCCTGCCATCCAGCTGGGACTTGCATGTGGCAATGAGAGGACCCTGTTCTTTCATTAGTCCGAGGCTTGAAGCTGGCCAAAACACTGTAGCCGCGCCCCATATATCCCCCTTTACTTTTGTTTTTAAACACGCCCATTTACATTATCCAAAAAACTCTAAACAAATTATTCAGCATCATCAAAACAGACTTCTCGTAATTAACAAAACTATAGACACAGCAATGTTAACAAGAGAGAACAAAATTCTGGCTAATAACAAAGCAATACCAATGCAAAACCAAACTACAAACATGTTAACATTTCAGGATATCTTACACAAAGTCCTAAGATTTAGCTCCGCAAGATTTTAAGGAAAACTGACAGTTCACCAAAGCTAGCATAGCCTCCACTTGCTTCTCTAAAATATGGTTGGCCTCAGTCGCCATCTTCTTCAGCTGACTCCATGCTGATATCTCGATCACCTGCATAGTAAAATGCCGCCAATGAAAAGAGGTTGCCGATGCAAAACTAGTCCCCTGGATCAGGCTGTTTGGACGGTTGACCCTGACACTGAGTCCGCATCAGTCCCAGTCAAATCAGCCCTGTCCACGCCGGTGGAAGTCTGGTCCCTTCTCAGCTTCTTTCTTTAGCGGCTGCTGCATGGAAACGAGCAGCCCTCGGTCCTGCAGAGCTGGAGACCTTCAACTCTGAGTCTGGCGTCTCACACAGACCCAAAGTCCCAGGGAGCTATCAGGTCACACAAGCAAAGATAACCAAAGCCTAGAAACAATGCAACTGCTGCAAGAGTTTACGATCTAGGTCGAAAATAAAAATTACTTTCTTAAACATCATCCACCACAGCCATCTTCTGCTTTACAGTGGCTTAAACAAAACCTAGGAGATTTCTACCTTATTTTGTACCTCCTAATTACTTATTTTCTACTGCTTATTTTCTACCACTTATTTCTACTTATTTCTCTATTCCTACAGCTTATTTCTACCACTTATTTCTACTTATTTCTTACTTCTACAGCTTATTTCTACCACTTATTTCCTACAGCTATTTCTTACCGCTTATTTTCTATTTATTTCTCTACCTCTAACTATGAACTAAAGGTGGGCTTGGCTGCCCTTGCCCAAATCTTTCCTGGGTTGCAAACCCCACTTATTTCTCTATTTCTAAAGCTTGTTTCTACTTATTTTCTACCGCTTATTTCTCTATTCCTACCACTTATTTCTACTTATTTCTCTATTTCTACAGCTTATCTCCTAACACTTATTTTCTATAGCTTATTTCTTACCACTTATTTTCTATTTACTTCTCTACCTCTAGCTATGAACTATAGGTAAGCTTGGCTACCCTTGCCCAAACCTTCCTGGGTTGCAACCCCCGCTTACAGAACCATAGGTAGGCCTGGCTGCCCTTGCCCAAACCTTTCCTGGGTTGCAAACCCCCGCTTATTTCTACATTTCTACAGCTTATTTCTACTTATTTTCTACCTTATTTTGTATCTTCCTATTCACTTATTTTCTACCACTTATTTCTACTTATTTTCTACCTCTTATTTCTCTCTGCTAACAGCCATAAACATGGCTGAAGGAGTAGCTTCCATTCCTTGCTTTTCTGCTATTTGCTGGGCCTCAGTTGTTAGCTTCTTCAGCTGACCCCATGTTGGCACCTCAGCCCCTCGTGTAGCCTTTGTTTTCTTTTTCTTCCCCTTTGCTGTCATTGGTGCAACTCTCAGTCTCTTGAACAGAGGGACAAGGAGCTTCTCTGGGTCCATTGTGGTGTCACACGTACCGTTCTGGCACCCAAATTGGCTGCACTGCTCCTACTGGAAAGATACAAACACAACCTCTTCTCCCCTTTTTGTTTTAGTAATTGCATTTTAAGAGTACGATTGGCTACTAAATCCTGAAGTGTCTTCCCCAGCCTGCCTAGCCTCATACAGAGACCACTGGAATCGAGACAGAGATCCCACTCTTTTTCTTGCTTGTTTAGAATGCGACTGGAGAGGCTTACAAGTAACAGTAAGCTTTCCAAAGGCTTGTCTTAGACCCCCATCATCCCAGTCCCGCCTGCGTTGTTCCCTCTCTGCCTCCTCCTCCAATTCTCGTTCTTTTTTGGGAGGAAGCACATTGTCCAGAGGGCTTTCCCCCACAGGAATGGTAGCCCCAGGGACTGGAGGAGGTAATGAAGCTGCCAAAGGTATAAATGGAGTCGGAAGCCTCTGGTCACTTTCTACTATTTGTCTTACATCTATCCCTTTTTGGGAAGGGGCTCTAGGTAGTCCCGAATCATGGACCACAAACTGAAGATAGAACCAGGAATTTTCTCTGGGCGTTCATCTATATAGCAATCTCTAAGTTGCTTCCGCTTATTTCTACCTTAGAAATTTAAAAATGCTTACTTTAAAAATGCTTCAATTAAGCATTTTCCCATGTTTTACACCGAGCTAATTTTACCACACTTAGGCTCCCTAACTTACTTTGTTTTTTGGCTTTCTTACTTTTGCTTTTTAAGCTTAACTTCTTATTTTCTTACTTTTGTTTTTTAAGCTTACTCTCTGCGTGTGCCTTGGAGCCTCCTTTCACCTGACCACTTTTTATTTTTATTTTTTAAATATATTTTATTGATTTTTTACAGAGAAGAAGGGAAAGGGATAGAGAGTTAGAAACATCGATGAGAGAGAAACATCGATCAGCTGCCTCCTGCACGCCCCCCATTGGGAATGTGCCCACAACCAAGGTACATGCCCTTGACTGGAATCGAACCTGGGAAACTTCAGTCCGCAGGCCGACTCTCTAGCCACTGAGCCAAACCGGTTAGGGCCACCTGACCACTTTTTAAATTCCCCCGAACTCAGGCCTGTTCGGACACCACTTGTTACGGCCATAGGTGATCCTGAGTGGCGGGGGTGAAAGGATTGAGAAAAGACAGACAAGAGAATGAAAGCTGGGTCTCTGTGGAACGCTGCTCCCTGATGAGGAGACAGCGCCAGCGCCCACAAGCCGTGTCTTTATTTTATAGCAGATGCCACGAGGCAAAGTAGGAGCGTGATCAAGTTGTTTACAGCATTCTCGTGAGTTTCAACCCTACTCAACTACATGCACCTGAACTCTATCACAAGGCACGTGGGGCCACGTGTTTGGACCATAGGTTCAAGCTTACAACTATAGCTGTTGGCTATAATTGTGCTGGGAGGGCTCTGCCCTCCAGCTGGGACTTGCAAATGGCAATGAGAGGACCCTGTCCTTTCATTAGTCCGAGGCTTGAACCTGGCCAAAACACTGTAGCCGCGCCCCATAGGCACCACCTTCTATGTTTGTAGGTTCCTTGGAGACTGCATTCCAGTGTTTGTATTGGTGGGATAAAGAGGCAAAGTTCAGTTTCCCAAAGAAAGGCTTACCCAGAGAACACACAGGTTGACTGCTGGGAGTTACTGTACTGTTGCCTTGTTATTTTTAGATTTCCAACCTATGGTACTGCGTAATGCTGAAAGCAGGAAATAGTAAATTTTATGTGCTACTGTTATCTCTGGTTTGTGTATATTATTGAGTTTCATTTGGAGAGTTAAAAAAGAAAAGAAACTTTTCCAGGGCTGGGACCCAAGAGAGAGCTTCAGGAGTAGGAAGGAGTGATATTCAAATCAGAGTGAATGCAGGGTCACCAAGCAGTTTAATTAACGTACTAATTTTTAGAGAGAGAAATATAAAATAGTTGATATATCCACTTGTAAAATTTTTGTAAAAATTCAAATCAGAATACTTGATTTAATCAGTGTAAGAATACTTAAAATTTCTATAGCATACCAGACAAGAAAAGGGTGGAAAGAGTTAAGTTCAATGTGGTGGGATCTAAGTGGCAGAATAAAAGGGATGGTGGAGAAGAAGGAAGAAGCTTTGAGAACTGGAGAAGAAGAAGGCATTGGTTACCCCACAAGCTCCAGGAGAGTTCTGGGAGTAAGGACCATGCCCCTTAGGTCCCTCTGACTGAGGCCAAAATATTAGTCCTCTTTCCTTGGCAATCTTGAGAAAATCCTTTGGGCCCCTTTTTTTGCAGTTGCAAATCAGGCAATTGAAGCAAATGATTTTCTGGAGTCCTTTCTGGGGTCCTGGTATCTCACCCCATCTCTGAGGCCAGAAGCTTGCCCCCACAAAGTGCCACAGCTCAGCCGACCTACCAAAACACTCATGCTGCTGTTTGTTTTGCTAAACGTTTATTTTGCTTGTATATTTTTCACCTTTTAAGTATATTATTGTCATTTATGCTTGCTGCTGATTTTTCTTCGAAGGTCTTTTTAGTTTCAAGTCTAGGATTCTGGAACCAAGGGCTATTTGGTTATCTGTGGGGCGGCTACAGTGTTTTGGCCAGGTTCAAGCCACGGACTAATGAAAGGACAGGGTCCTCTCATTGCCATGTGCAAGTCCCAGCTGGAGGGCAGGGCCCTCCTAGCACAATCATAGCCAACAGCTATAGTAAGCTTGAACCTATGGTCCAAACACGTGGCCCCACGTGTCTTGTGCTAGAGTTCAGGTGCATGTAGTTGAGTAGGGTTGAAACTCACGAGAATGCTGTAAACAACTTGATCAAGCTCCTACTTTGCCTCGTGGCATCTGCTATAAAATAAAGACACGGCTTGTGGGCGCTGGCGCTGTCTCCTCATCAGGGAGCAGCGTCCCCCTGAGACCCAGCTTTCATTCTCTTGTCTGTCTTTTCTCAATCCTTTCACCCCTCCACTCGGGATCACCCTTGCCTCTGCTGCACGGCACAGTTATCTG